GGTTCTCCTCCCGCCTCTGGGACTGTGTGGCCGTGTGGCCTTAGCTAGTCACTTGTTCTCTCTGGTTCTCCTCCCGCCTCTGGGACTGCGTGGCCGTGTGGCCTTAGCTAGTCACTTGTTCTCTCTGATCTTCTCTTCTCGTTACTTTGAATGTGCCAGCTGGTTGGAACACCTCTTTGCTAAGGTCTCTTCTAACCCCAACCATCCATGACTCTTTAAGGTAGCTGTGGCTAGGTCTCTGGACCTTCCTTGAATGCTCCCCTAATTCTGGAGTGTCGTTTCTGATGGTTTAAAGGTAGACAGGCCAGTGCTCTCCAGCACCTAAGAGAGCTACAGATGTTTTCTGGAATTGCGATGTTGTGAGTAAGCTGGGGAGGAGGAGCCTTGGTAGCAGTCGTGTCCACGGCCTCACTGGGATATGCTTTCTCTCTCTGCGTGTAGTTTAATTTGAATTATTTATGGTGATCCTTCCTAGTCATTTGGGAAGATGAATGAAGCCTCAGTAATCAGAGCCCATGCACAGCCTCTTTTAGCTAACGTCTATTGAGGCATCAATCTATGAAAAGTGCCAGGACTTGAGAACTTCAGGGCTTGCCCCAGGAAGAGTCACAGCCAGCAGAGTCCCATCAAACAAAGAGGCAACCCAATTTGGGTGCTCTGTCTTCTAGACATAAAAGCACTGGTCAGTAGAGAATTAAACCCTTGACTCTGGCCTTTCACCCTTCCAGGTGGATAACTTGTCCCCTCTGTCCTCCTTCCCATCTCCCTGCTGATGCCAATGAGATGTTTAGGAACGCCCTCTCCTCACTGCCCCTGCAGTCATAGATTCCTTGAGCTCAGCCACACAGAACTGGCAGTAGGAAGAGACAAGACAGCATGAAGATGCTATGGCTCAGGCTGCAGAAAGGACGGGGAGAGGGCGGGCAGCCAGGAAAGGGGCCAGACACACACACAATTTGAAGTAGCTGAACTTCAGTGCCGATCGCTGGGAAGTGCCACCAGCATGAGGCTGTCAAGGGCAACTCACTGAAAGTCAAAACATTGTGCTGATGACAAAGTGAGAAGCCAGCAGCCGTGATCTGTATCCTGATGAAAGACTGTTAGGGAGGCCCACACAGCAAGGAACAAGTGGCCAAACATTTTCAAGGCACGAGCTCAGATGGCAGTCGGAAAGACAAAAATGGTTCTAGGGAAATGTATATCTTCATTAGAGACAGTACCATGGATTTCAGAAGGAGGCAAGAATGCTAGACTCAAGAGGAAATTCAGTGGCACAGAAAAACCTAAGTCAGTGGCCGGTTATACAGAAGAGTGTCTCTAGTGTAGAATTGTCCATTGGCATCTCATGGAATGGATTTCTGGTTGTGCTGCTCCAGCCACAGCCTGTGGGATGTATCTAGAGTCTCCTTTTGTGCTTTGACTCTCAAAACGTAAGGAGTTTGTTGTCTCCAGTTCAGGTGGAGGCTCTGTGAGGAATGAACAGCTGTTGGAGGGGTTTCCATATGCCCTAATCCCTCACTTTCATGTGGGGTTGGCTTATAGCATGGCACTGAAGACTTGAAGACTTGTGCCCTTTCAAGGTCTCTATCTTCTTCTTTTTTTTTTTTTTTTTTTTGAGACGGAGTTTCGCTCTTGTTACCCAGGCTGGAGTGCAATGGCGCGATCTCGGCTCACCGCAACCTCCGCCTCCTGGGTTCAAGCAGTTCTCCTGCCTCAGCCTCCCGAGTAGCTGGGATTACAGGCAAGCGCCACCATGCCCAGCTGATTTTTTGTAGTTTTAGTAGAGACGGGGTTTCACCATGTTGACCAGGATCGTCTCGATCTCTTGACCTCGTGATCCACCCGCCTCGGCCTCCCACAGTGCTGGGATTACAAGCGTGAGCCACCGCGCCCGGACTTCAAGGTCTCTATCTTCTATGAATCCCCTCCCTGAGTCTTACCAAGAGTGGACAACTACCATGGGTAGATGGGATTTTTATTCAAAGAAGGAAAGGTTTCTTTGTTTGAGCGATCTAAGGTCTTTTTGCCTGTTCAGCCTATGGGCAGTACTGAAGCTGCCGTATCTTTCACCCTTCTGTTGAATCAGAAAAAATCATGTTCCACTCTGCCTCTCTCATACAGATATCTAGCTGCCATCGTGTGTGTGTGTGTGTGTGTGTGTGTGTGTGTGTGTGTGTGTGTGAGATTTATTTTAAGGAATTGGCTCAAGCAGCAATGAGGGCTGGCAAGTTTGAAATCCGTAGGACCAGCTGGCATTCTGAGAACTCAGGCAGGAGTTGATATTGTGGTCTTGAGGCGGGATTTCTTCTCTGGGAAGCTTCAGTTTTTGCTCTTAAGACCTTCAAGTGACTAGATAAGGCCCATTTATATTATCAAGGTAATGTTGACTTAAAACCAACTGATCATGGGTGTTAATCGCATGTATAAAGTATCTTCATAATGACACCTAGATTCGGGTTTATGAAATAAGTACTACCATCTAGCCAAGTTGACACATAAAACTAACCATCCTTGCCTAACCTTCTTGAGCCTGCGTTCCTCATTATTAAAATGGAGTTACAATATCTGTAACACAAGATTGTTGTGCGGATTAATACAATGACACCCATGTGGCTCTTATTCTGTGCCCAGTAGGTACTTTGTATTAGGCTGGTTTTTGTATTACCAGCAAAGGCTATGAGCCGTATACCAGGGATCCTCAAAATGCCCTTCATCAACTGTGATGGAGGGTGGTGATACCTTTGTGCAACAAGCCTTTCGAACTAATAGAGACAGGTCTTGAAGGGTGGTGGGATTCTGGAAGGTAATCCTCTGGTTAGAGCTGGAGCATTGCTTAGTTGATTAGAGGATGCTAATTGAAATTCAGCTATGGTAGACTCTTCCTGGGGAAATGTTTGGGGGGGTGGAACATTCTTTTGAGAATCTTTAAGCCAATTCTTCATTCCCCAAGTGTCTTTTTTAAAATTATCATGAATATATAATAGTTGTACATATTTATGGGGTACATGTGAAATTTTGATACAAGCATGTAATATGTAATGATCAAATCAGGGTAATTGGGATATCCATCGACTCAACCATTTATCATTTCTTTGTGTTAGGAACTTTCTAGTTCCACTCTTTTAGTTATTTTGAGATACATAATAAATTATTGTTAACTACAGTCACCCTGTTGTGCCCACCGAACCCTAGATCTTACTCCTTCTAACTATGTGTTTGCACTTATTAACCATCCCTGCAAGCTTCTTTTTCTGTCATCGTTTCCAGACGGCTTCTGTATAGAAATATTGTGTTTTCTTGGAATAACTAAATATACCCCAAATATGCTTAATTCAGATCTAGCAACTCATAAAGAATTAGGAGCACCTTCTAGAATGCCTCTTATGCTGGGGACATCATCAAGAACCACGTCTTGCTTCTTCTGTGAGCATCTTCTTCCTGTACCATCAATAATTCTGTTGCATGGGACCAGCGGAGATGGTGGCCTGAAGCAGGGCCAGAGGTCACTGTGGTTCTGGGCAGGTCCTCGTGGTTCTGGTGGTTGGGGATACCGTGTTTGCTCCTCCTCTTTCTGGCCTGTCCCTAAGGTAGGAGGAGTTTCTAATTGGATGGGACAAGACCCAGGCATTCACTCACGTGTTTTCAAGCGGACAGGTTTCCTTTGCCTGAAAGGTCAGTACCCATGCAGTGTACTCTTACTCATGCCCTTCTTCTCTGAAATCCCAGCTGCATGTCTCTTTCTGTTCCCTCGACTGCTGTCTGCTGTCAGGTGGGTAAATTGGCTGAGGCTTGCTTGAATTCACAGAAGATGGAGTAGTGAACTCCGTTTGGGCCGTCTGAGGTTTACCAGAGCTCACTACTGGGAATTGCTGGCTGCCGGCTCAGGTGTTAACTATGTAATACTTGGTTCCTTGCTGGCCACTATTTTCTGCATATGGCTTTCCAGATGGGAACCCTGTAGAGAACAGGGGTGACGGGAGGATCAGTCCTTTTAGCTGTTTGGTGATAGCACACTTGAAACAGCACCAAATCCTCTTGCATTGTTCTTTGGAGCAGAGCTTGATTCTCACTTTGCTTCTTTGCCACGTGTCTCCCTTTCACAAAAGAATCGGGGGAGAGCTTA